GGCCTAGGCCTACCTCCATGAACTTCTCCGTTCACTTCGGTTTGTCTAGATCTTACACATTCGGTAGGACTCCTTGGGCGGGTGATCAGCTCGTCGCAAGACCTCTACCTGTACACAAACACAGAAAAACGCACACACACACACTAGACATCCATGCCCTGAGTGGGATTCGAACCCACGATCCCGGTTTCCAAGCGAGCGAAGACAGTACATGCCTTAGACCGCTCGGCTACCGTGACCGGCAGGATCTCCCTTATATATTACAGTACACTGTATTTTTTCCATTCACTTGTGAAACGTGTTGTAGAAAAACTGTAACGTACATCACTCTTGCTCTAGACGACACGCTGACCTTTGTTGCTGACCGACTGGCATCCACGTGTGGTCTTATTGTGATGCTTGGGCTTTGTTAAAATTACATACAGATACACATCATTAATTACTGTGCTTTTTATCGCATCTTGCCATTAATTCAAGTTAACAATACTCACATAAGATCGCCAAAAACAATTTGGAGCGCTTGTTCTCAATTCTTTTAAGTCAAACCGGTGTCGAAGAAGTAATAGGAATATGCTGACAGGTGACACTTTCTGGGAGTAATTAATGGATAAGAAGTGGGTCGTCAGTTCTCCATATGACTGCACGGCAGAAATCTGTTGGCAATGCGTCATGCCGCAAGTAGAGGGTTGTGGTTATGTTCGCGGCGGGAATAACCAGAGAAGACCACAGAAACAGGCGGTACAACTATCCAAAGAGATCATCTTCCCCTCAAGGATAAGATTTAAGTTTTTTCTTTCTTTAATCTTTAATTTTCTAGGTCTTCAATTTTATTTTCTCAGCTCTGTGTGAGTAATTAAGGACTGAGCTTGACGACCACTCTCATAGTATTCTCACTACGAATTCTATACCCTTCTGCTTCTGAATTTGTTTTCCTCTTACAGCAAACACAAAAGGCATGTGTGTAATATAAATGAAAATTATGTGTAGCCTAATATAATCAGGCACGGGGTAGCGTAGTTGGTTGAGGCACTATGCTACAAGCCGGAAGCTCTCGGGTTCGAGTCCCGATGACATTGATCTTTTTAAATTGACCTAATCCTTTCAGCCGCACTATGGCCTTGTGGTCGACTCAGCCTCTAACAAAAATGACTACCAGGAATCTTCCTGGGGGTTATGTGCGGCCGGCGCGTAAGGCTGAGAAACTTACCGCCAACTGTGAGCCGATTGTGTAGAAAATGTCGGAGCCTCGACGTCTCACAACCCCATGTCCCTCCACAGCTTTCTACAGTGATAGTTTTACCTTACTTAATAGAATCATTATTTATCCTGTCCAAGCCGGCACATTCTTCTTAAATGTGCAAGTTTAACAGATTTATTCTGCTTTTATCTCTACTAATTGAATTGATAGTTATATTTATTAAGATAAATGTGCGAACTGCGAATAATTCATGATATTTAATTTGCTTTTATTTCTTGTTTTCTCATGTACTTGATACGAGAGTGTGAACAGATGTGTTGTGGGCTTGATATAAAATGATCTTGAGATACTGACTGGCTGACGCTTCCATGATTACGGAATAGCAGTGTTTGGGATTTCGTATGTGTGGATGTGCACTTCTCTGGCTCCCGAACCGTTGGATGGATACTCGGTATTCAAGAGATGACCCATCCTAGATCGCTGTCTTGTCAATCTGAATATTCCAGTTCCTGAAACATGGCCTTCAGATGTCACAAAAATCAAGATGGCGACTCTTTTGATAATCATTCTACCTTCTTCTTTCTCAGCTCTACGGCCTTCGGAAGGCTTCGGTTTCCTTCACAATCAGCCAATAATTGTAAAGGCTACTCGAAAAGATTTTTTATAGGATAAGGTCGTCAGCCCTAAGCCCAGCCCTTAATTCTTTTTAATTGCTAGTGTGGTGGGACATATATTCTTCCTTCAAGGTTAAGTCCATATATAGATGAAATTATTGGGGATCATCAGAGTGGGTTCTGACGTAACAGATCAACTACAGATCAGATCTTTTGCATTCGTCAAATATTGGAGAAAAAATGCGACTATGATAAGACAATACATCAACTATTCATAGACTTCAAGAAAGCCTATGATTCAGTTAGGAGGGAAATATTGTACAATACTCGGATAGAGCTTGGGATACCCATAAAACTAGTTAAGCTGATTAAAATGTGTTTAAACGAAACTTATATTAAAGTCCACATAGGTAAATATCTGTCTGATAAATTTCCTAAGCAGAATGGTCTAAGACAAGGAGATGCTTTATCGCCACTCCTATTTAGCTTTGCCTTGGAATATGCCATTAGGAAGGTCCAGGGAAACCAGGTGAGACAAACTAAACGCGACACATCAGCTGTTGGCCTACGCCGATGATGTGAATCTACTGGGTGATAATGTAGATACCATAAAGAAAAACACACAACCTTTAATTGACGCAAGTAAAGAGGTTGGTCTAGAAGTAAACACAGAGAAAACTAAGTATATGTTCCTGTCTCGTCACCAAAATGCAGAGGAAAATCATTACATAAAGATAGGAAACAGATGTTTTGAAAATGTGGCACAGTTAAGATATTTGGGAACAATAATAACAGATCGAAGCCGGTCACGGTAGCCGAGCGGTCTAAGGCGTGCACTGTCTTCGCTCGCTCGGAAGCCGGGATAGTGGGTTCGAATCCCACTCAGAGCATGGATGTTTGTGTGCGTTTTTCTGTGTTTGTCTACAGGCAGAGGCCTTGCGACGAGCTGATCACTCGCCCAAGGAGTCCTACCGCATGTGTAAGATCTAGTAAACCGAAGTGAAACGGAGAATTTCATGGAGGTAGGCCTAGGCTCAAATTGGGGCTGTAGCGCCACAGAAGAAGAAGATAACAGATCGAAACCTGATTCAGGAGTAAATTAAGAGGCGATTGATCTCGCGTAATGCTTGCTATCATTCAGTCCAGAACCTTTTGTCTTCTCGTTTGCTGTCCAAAAACATAAAAATTATAGTATACAGCATTATAATTTTGCCTGTGGTTCTGTATGGGTGTGAAACTTGGTCTCTGACATTAAGGGAGGACCATAGGCTGAAGGTGTTTGAGAACAGGGTGTTGAGGAGAATATTTGGACAGAAGAGAGATGAAGTGACAGGAGGTTGGAGAAAACTATGAGGAGCT